TATTACACTATGTTGAAAACAATTTTGGATCCAAACAGTGCTGAAATATAATTAATTTTTTTAGGTGTGGCCCTCTTATTCTACATATGACACACCTTTAAAAACTTCAAGAATACTGATTTATTTTCCTATCACAACTAACTGCTATGCAGCATTCAGTCTACTACTACATGTACATAGCTTGACTTACATACAATCATAATTCTGTAGGATACAAGACTTGCATACTTTCAATCAAATATTATTGTAGATTACTTATTGCTACAGTGCTGGCTAGCCTAGCCTACAAGTGAGCTGACTAACCTAGCCTGACCCGACTTACCCTAGGTACCTGACCTGATGTTGCACCAGTGCCATCTCAAATATCCTTGGCTGCTTCAGCTCATTAGGTTTGATGCAACGAACATAATGTGGTTGTTTACAGCCAAGGTTTCGAACAAGGGCACTTATTGAAATTTTAAATTGGGTTCCTGTTGTAGCGGGCCGCTTCAAAGTTGACCGCTTGGGGTTTCCTGTAAGAAAAAATGATAGCTTCAAAATAAAACATATCTTACCTCCTTACAAAATTGTGTATCACCTTTTCCTCCAAAAGATTATATTGAGAAGTGTCCATAATAGTTGAACATCTCAAGAAATTTAAGGTATGTGCACATATATTAAAACATAATCATACTTTGTGAGATTATAAACAATTATGCTTGAGATTAAGATTAAGTGTAAGTGTGCATTAGTTATGAATACAGAAAAAGAAATGGAACAAAAACAATGTGAATATCAGTAATGATACTGAGAACAAAATCATACAGTGTCTTTCAAGAACTCCTTGTTTTAATTTCCTGGATTAGTAAACTAAATTCAGAATTGTATGTAAACAACTGTTATTTATGGTCTGTCACTCACCTTCAGGAAAAAGGGTTTTGAGCATAGGATGCTCACAATGATACATGGCAAGAGACAGGTCTCGATGCAGAATATCATTGTTTTTGTCCACAAACCCGCATACATTGTAGGTTACTGTGCCAGCATAATGTCTCAATCTGTAAGCAAAATCATAAAAGAAGAACTTCAATAAAGAGGTTATAAAATAGACTCAGCATCACAAGCATGGTAAAACATACATTAATATTTCAATAACAATGAAGCTGAGTGTTTACAGACCAATGCAACACTTTATTATTATTATTAAGTGTTCTGTCTTACGACAGGTCCATTGCTCTGCCCAAACAGAGCTCTCCAGTTGTCCCTATTCTCGGCTTCTCGCTTTAATTCCTGGAACGTCATCTTCTTTCCTTGTTTAAGGTCGTCGGTTAGCTGTATCAATCTTCTTCCTAGTCCTCTCTTTCCTTCAACCTGGCCTTCGGTGATATCACTCATTAATCCATTCCTTCTCATAATATGTCCCAGCCAGTTAGCTTTCCTTCGTGTAATCGCCTGCAGAATGCTTCTTTGCTCGTTGACTCTCCTCAATACTTCTTCGTTGGTCAATTACTTAAATTAAATTAACTCCGTGGCGTAACAGCTCCAGGGAGCCAAAACCAACTAGCTTGACTGCTGGCCTCACGTTCACATGCCTAAGCAGAGGTGAACGATCATCCAACCAGATATAGGGTGACGTGTGGTCAGCACGACGAACCCCCAGCCATTGCTAGTTTTACTGACCGGATTACACTACTCACCCTAAAATGGAATTCAAAACATAATTTGAACAAAGATTTCATGTACCATAATTATATAATATGGTATAAAACACAAGTTAATATTATATTTAGCTTTATTTATGTGTTGACACTTTCATTTTATTGCTTCCTTTGAGATTATCTCACCGCTTAATGTTATTTGTTACTCAACTCCAATACATTTAAATTGAATCATGTAATTAGGTATAGCTGCAGACGTTTTGCCAAAGCTGACACACAAAACGCTCTTTTATTCTTCAGATCTAATTTTACAAATCAAAATAAAGCCTACAACAATACATGTCATACTTTATTAAAGTAGGAATTTGATTTTCAATCTAAGCATCTAGGCTCCAATTGCTGTTCGTATATCATAATAAAAAAATCTGTATATTTGTAGAAATAAACATGATAATATGGTCAGAAAATCACAAGAAAAACAACCACCTGGATCAACTTGGCATCACTAGGAGGATAATATTAAAATGCATGTTATAGAAATAGGATATGAGGATGTAGATTAGATTCCTCTGGTTGAAGGTAGGAATCTCTTTGTTATGTGGAAAGTAGCATTTCAACTATTTAGGTAATTACATACCTGAAACAATTGGGTGGCAGGCTGTTGTCTGAGGTACCAGGTGTTGTAACAAAGTTCCTCTGAAACACTGATGTTCCTTTGACTTCACAGTGAGAATTTCCAGCAAAACACTGTGCCAGTTTACTAAGGAACAGTTCATCAGAAAGAACCCCTGATTTTAGGCACTCCTCATCCAGCATTGACAGAATACCATGATTGTTCTGTCATGGAAATAAAATAAGGACTATTAACAGTATTTCATTATGTCTACATGTCAAGCCAAGAAGGAATATAAGGGCTGTTGATATTCAACTCTCCTATGGAAATTAGCTTTGCAAAGAAACTTGATGGGATCACTTTTTATAAAAGTTTTAAAACCACAAATTCTGATCATTCTTGTTAGTCAACTGATGTAAAATACTTTCTTAAACAGTTTGAGATAAAATGTTTTTTTATTACTAAAACTTTATAAATCTTGTAACTTAACAAGCAAAACAAACATAAAATATCTGGAGAATACACACTGTGATGCTACACTACAGAACTGAATATGAAAAGAAGATTCTTTAAAATTTCAGAAACATAAAGTTTGAAATGTGTAAGATGTTTTGTTGAAGTGCATTTAAGTAAGTTTCAATCAGATTTATAGAATGACACTTACATGATAAAAAATCTATTGTATCTACTCTACAGCATACCTTCTCTATAAGTTCACAGATAACAGAGTTGTTGAAGAACTCAATAGGCATCCACTCTATCCCTTCACGCGTATATTCTTCTTGCTCCTCTTTCAGTGTTGTCTCCACCACTACTTGGTGCAGCTTCTCATTGCAGAAATTGATTATGAACTGCTCAAACCCATTTCGTTCAAACATCTCAAACCCATACACATCCAAGATGCCCAATACTTTCCTTTTACCATACTGTTTCACCTACAGAGGCAAAATTTAATTTTATGCAAAACTATTCAAAATAATGTATGAATGAAAAGACACCATCAGCTTCAGTATGTTATTTTAGACTTTTTTTTAGAATTGGGTATTGTTTTACTAAACTCAGACTGCAATCATAAACACTGAATGATCATATTAATGAGAATGTTCATCTAATAATTAATGAATCAAATAACTACTAGATACATCATCAAAAACATAATCCTGTTTCAATTCAATTCAATTAAATTCTATAAAATTACCCTTTGTGTTCGACACATCGTAAGATTATTCAGAAATTAGTATACTTTATATTATTTTATAATGTTATCGCAGGACGATGCTCATGTGTTTATTCTCTAGGAATGTATAAAACACTTTTATGATCATTCATTAAATCTGGAATAAATTTAATGTCATTAAATGCAAAATATTATTTAAATCACTAAGTTAGCATCACATTGTTTCCATATTAAAAAGCCTCCTGACCTAAATTCAAAATTTGGTTTCCTAAGGCTTATGTTTAGTTTTCCATCACCCTATAGGCCTCATAACCTCCATTACATAAAATTATAATGTGGGAAGCCTGTGAAGGTAGGTATGTTTAATACAAAGTATTGCTAAGTATATACTTTTGGTCAATATTATTAGTACAATCCATTTATAACCTCAAAATAGGTAGGTTAGAAAGTTTACTACAATAATGCTTTTGTAGGTAACTACCTTGGTGCTCTCATTGATCTTGTTGACAAGCCAGGTGAAGAGGCGACTATAGAGAGCCTTGCATAGTGAGTCACGGGCATATGTGGCCTCAGTAGCACTCAGATCAGCTGTTACTAAGTCCTGGTTCTCCTCCAATGTACGGGATGTCATGGCTGCTTGTAATGTAGCTTGGTCTGAACCAATAAGTTCACAGACATCATAAAGCTCTGTAAGCAAGAAACAATGTCAGTACTATTCAAGAATTAGTAAAACATGGTGTGGAATCACCATATAACAAAGAACAAGTAAAGGTCAGACAAGTATCCACTTACAATCCAATTTCTTAAAAGTTTATGTGATGGTAACTAAGTATTACTGTTCTTTTACAGTTTGATTTGGCAAGCTATGTCTCAATGGAAATGGAACAGTGAATGGCCCATTGTCTGTCACCCAGAACATATATGAGTGAATATGGAGCAGCAGTAAATAGATGACATGGGAAAACCAAAGAACTTGGAGAAAACTTGTCCCAATGCCACAACAAATCCCACATGGACTGACCTGGACAAAAACCTGAGCATCTGTGGTGCAAAGCCAGCAACTGACTGCTCGAAACATGGCATCAGCAAGTATTATTGTATACTAACGACCTCTTTTAATGTTTGAAAGGTATATCAAGTGTCTGTCTGTCTAATAACTGTTTCAAATCTGTTTTCAGCATCTTTTACAACACATATATAATGCATAACACATATCTGTCTATGCAGTTTCTTTGGATGACCATCCCAAAATTCATAAGCCCTGAAAACTTTGATTATCTTTGGTGTTTTATAAATCTCTAAATTTGAAGTTTCTGTATTTCTACAGGCTAATGATCAAGTATCTGAAAGACTTCTTTAATATCAAAATGACTCTCATTCCCCTAAAATTCTTAAATTCACAATATTCCTACCTCTTGACACTGCCAAGATCACCCTTTCTGTTATCTCCATCTGTAGCCTACGTTTTTCACAAGCACAACATTTCTGTCTGGAAGAAATATTTCAGCCAACTAACACCATCCTTAAAATTCAGTACCTCAAAACTTTCCAATAGCCTCTATGTCGAAGGCATGACCCCATAAAATTCTACCTAGTTTCTGAATGAACTTGATGAGTATCTTTCTTTCAGAAGTTTATAGATCAAGCTTCTGTGTACTATTGAATTATAGATACTTTGCTTCTCTGACACTATCTTTCTTTAAATGTTTCAGTGTGCAAAAACCTACATCCTACACTATATTTCTGTCCTGCCTACTTCATATAATTCAGTTAAAAATTAATCAAACAACTCACTCTCTCATCTGCTTAAATCCCATGTGATTATAATTCCCAACCTATGCAAGCAACTTCTGACTGCATACTGAGATGGACAGATGAAAGTCACTATGTAAATATTTGGTAACATATACAAAATACTCAATAAAAAGAAATGTATTTGCGTGACTTTTAGAAATAGCAACACTGATTGTCTATTTCATTAGAAAAAAACACAAATCATAAAAACTGGCAGTGCTTTCAAAATACCAGGTTTTAAGTTTGTTTCCTAGAGTGTGTGTTTCATTCAGAAGTGACAGGAAAATACTATTATTATTAAAATGTATCCATCTGATCAAAAATAAAAAGGTATTAACTTTTTCACCTACAAATTTTTAAAGCAGAAACATACATCCAGATCATAGCTTCTTATTTTACTATTTTTATAAGTATTGAAACTAACTAAACCACTTCTACCTACAATGTTATTCTCTTGATGGAAAAGAGGTTTACTTTCAACATACATTACTTATGATGGGATGACTATTAAAAGCAACTTCTTAAGCAGCTCCTGCTGCATTTATTTTTGATGCAGCATTTAGGAAAAAATAATAAAAGGCTATGGACATGTATCTTGAAACTGCTATTAACCTTTATTTTACTAGAATAGGGGATTTAAAACCCCAAAAATAGTGCTACCAGCTGGATTCCAAGGTCAATGGTTTAGTGGTATGCTAATACAATGCAAGGACATAGTTACACTATTTTTCTCTTTCAGAAAAAGGCAATTAGAACAATGATGGGATGTGGCAATAGAGTATCGTGTAGAAATATATTCAAAGAATTAGATATCTTACCGTTGGCATCACAATATATATTTTCTTTATCATTGTTTGTATTACAAAACAAAACCCTTTTTCCATTAAACATTGACTCTCATACTATTGATACTAGACAGAGACAAAATTTGTATCTACCTCAAGCTAATCTAACTATCTATCAGAAAGGAGTTCATTATGCGGGTATAAAGATATTTAATAAATTACCCATAGAGATTAAGAATACCTCAAATAATCGTAAAAAGTTCAAGGTTGCATTAAGGCATTTTTTAATTACTCACTCGTTTTACACTGTGGATGAGTACTTAATTGGATAACTATTGTAATAAAAATACTAGTTATATTGTTTTGAATTTAGTATGCTGCTTGTCTAGATGTAATTCTTTAATGTATGTATTTTATTCTTTTATACTTGAGTTTGTGACGTGTTCTATATCCACTATTGGATTTCTGGAACTTGTAAATAAATAAATAAATAAATAAATAGCAAATAAAAGTTAGATATCAACAGATTAGAAACTGTGAAATGCCCTCTTATTTCGTAATCACTATACATGCAAACACAATTAATTAACAGCCATGTAAAAGTCAAGATATCCGAGTAAATGCTGTATGTTTATAGCTATCAAATAAAGTATAATATACAAGTGTTTCATTTATAACCACATTGAGTGACTGTTTACTGCAGAAACAAAAAATAAGATAAACAAAAATAGAGAATTTAATTAGTTAACAATTCACCAATTAATAAAAAACAAGTAATGGAGCTGAAATCATTCAACTGACCATAATCATTGTTGATGGTACACCCTTCTGTTCCATCTATGTTGTTTGTAGGGATGAAACCGATGTTGCCAAGCTTCAACACTGATGCCACGATTTTGAACACATTCACAATATCTTCCTGAGAGAAGCCTAATGTTTCCAAAGCTCTCTGCAAAAACAACACATGCATATTAATCTTTTGAAGCCCTATGTCCAAGACAGACAATGATGCACATTATTACATGACTATAATCATGAAATAACAATATTTGTTCTGAAGATATTCACATGAAAATGACAACATAAACAGAATTATTAAAAAATAAATGAATTATATTACAGTCTAGCAAATTCATGAACTAAAATGACATTGCAGGAGGAGTTGACTGATAGACTAGCACTTGGCAATTTGTCCAGAGAATGATTGTAATTTTGATTAATTGCAGTCATTTCACATAAACTCAAAACCACTGGACATATGAAATAACAATTCTACCAATTATTTAATATATGTATGAAATATGGTGTTTTACTAAGAAGGGGATAAATAAACTTGCAAATGTTTAAAAACAAGTGATCACGAAAATACCTATACCTTATAATGATGAAGCAGGTAAGTAAATTTGGTTATTATAATACAAAAAACTGTGATTTTTTTATAGCAAAAGTCTGGGAAAGTAGCTAGGATGAAATAGGTAAGGAATGCACACAGAATTTTGGTGGAGAATACTCCTGGAAAATTCCACTTGGAAGAATGAGAAGATGGCCTTTTCAGGCCAGGATAGTTCAGGAACATATCAAATGACAGGTTTTGGTATTAGCAGAAACTAGAGAAAACAACTGAAAGAATTATTATTAATCCTAAATACAGAGCCACAGTAAAAGGGTAAATAACCCCTTAACAGATTTACAACTGATCACTTTTATGCTACCATAAAAGTAATGTTAGTTTATTTTGATACAATGTTTGTGATATGTTTATTAAATTTGATATCTGTAATAAAAATTGATAGGTTCCAGAGGTGTGCTCTTGCAATGAACTTCCATGTTTCACAATAACAGCACACATATCTTGATCAGATGAACAAGTATCAGTTATTAAATTAAGACTAAATAAACAATTATAAGCTTAGTTGCCATGGATAACCCTAATACATTATTTTGTATATCTCCCTCTCTGTCATGTTGATTTATTTTACTGATACCTTACTATAGTGATTGTGAGTTTTGCAGTGTAAAATAACACAAATTTAATGCTGGCATACAAACCCTTGTAACTTGAAAATCTTGTTTGTCATCCAGACTTTCTAAACTGTGAACTCTGCTACTTCGTAGGAAGGCATAATTATCAAGATTGCGTTGTAGTTTCAGGGATTCTAGGAAAAATAATACAACAAAAATTAAAACGCTATACAGTGCCAGCATAAACGTTTACATGTAAAATCAGTGAGACATACATGCAAGATGTAAATACAACATAAGAAAATATTAATTTACTGTGATTATTATCTTAAATATAACATCTTGTTCAAAATGAAATTTATACAATATGAAAGAAAAACTCTCTTAAAATAGTTAAAGTTTCAGAGCAGGTATTAGAAATATAAGTTAAGGACTGTGTGGGGAAAAGAAAAAAAGAAGGGGGAAAAAACAGTGTTAGGCAGACATTAAATATTGGTATTGTACAATGGAACGACCTGAAATTCTGCATTCTAAAAGACCTTACAAGTATGCAGAAAATCTGTAATCATTTCCTAAATAATGGTTAGTAACTAATGAACTAATGCAGTTAGTAGTATGGAATTCAGTAAGGATATTATAAATCTAGATAACACAGCTGTATAGTAGATATCAATTTTAAAGCCCTATGCCATCTTAACGTTTATATTTATTATGTAGATTTTCATTCATTAGCCTACAGTTGATTTATACAGAATTACCAAATGGATGAATAATATGTTTCAAAAATTAAATTTTCAAAACTGTTTGTGTCTGCAGAGGTAAAAAAAGTATATACAAAATATGATAAAATATATGAAACATGAACTTACTGAGTAGCTGGATATCAGCCCCTGTTAGTAACTGGTAGAAAATATGGAAATTCCTTTCACCTTGGGTTTGACATGTCACTCGTGACTGGAAGCCAAAAAGAAAAACAGTTTGTATCTTGTGACAAAACACTATCATTAATATATTATTTCATATTATATTTAACTTTGCCCTTTACACGATCATGTGAAAGATTAAATGGAAAATAGTAACCAGTTGTTTATCTATTAGAAATTTTATATTTTTGGACTTGACATATAACATACAGTTTGATTTGAGAGAAGCCTTGAGGATGAAACTTACATTTTTAAAACCATTATCATGGATATGGCTTTTTACCTGTTTTACCTCCAAACTTATTATTGTGTCTTGAAACATTTATGCTAACATAGTTATTAAAAGGTGCAGAAAGGAGTGCATTAATAAGATTATTAACAAAGGTTTCTGTCTTCTGGGTTGTTGTCGCCCTGATGACGGAGGCAGTATGACCTCTGAAACGTTGGTTAACATCGACCAGACTACACAGCGCAACAACCGAGAAGACAGAAATCTTCATACTCACCGCTATGAAAACCTCAAATCTTACATATTCTGTAGCGTTAGGCTACAATGCCACCTACTTTGTACTTTGAAGTAATTTACTTTCAACCCCAGCTAATGCAATATCCTCTTCTGATATATCAGAAACGAATCTGAAGGTCAAAATTCGTCACACAATGCAAGATTATGTGTGTATGAAAGGTAGATGTTCAGAGAGTAAGTATTTCTTACTCTTGTCATCCCTGTTCAACTTCTACTTCTGGTCTTGATATATTTGTTCATCAAAATAATATACATAAATAATTCTTTGTGTTATGGTTATCTCTGCTGAGTTTGGATTAGGCTGATTAAGTACACATAACCAGATTTAATCTTTGCAAATCATACTGACCAAAGTTTAAAGTAGACAAACACAATGTTATTCCTGAAATTCTTACAGTACGTCATCTCGATTTCTTAGATGTTATAAGGGAAGATATAGAAGTAATACACACAACGAGTCTTGCCAGAGAAGAGAGATAAAACATGTCAGGAAAAAAGATATCTATAAATTCTGTAGCCAGCAGGTACACTTCTACTCTATTTACACGAGAGATGGTATGGGGGTTAAAAATCCTTTGATTTATTTCAGACATAACCTCACTAACATTATTCTTTTCCTTCTACCAGTAGAACCAGACACAAGTTAAAGAGGATACAGTGACCAGTATAAGAAAGCAACACAAAGCAGCTGTCATTTTCTCAATACATCATCAGCTCAGAAATGTAACTGAAGATGTAATTTATAGAAACTTTTGTTGAAAATGAGAAGGGACTTAACGTTTCCTGAATGAAACAGTAAACCAAGCAACAGAGTTAGACTGCCCTGCTATAAAGCAAAGAGACTAAACGTAATGATTTATGAAAATAATTATGGAAACTTCTCTTAATGTTATTATATGACAATATAAAATCCATACCTGACATTATATTGCTGATAATTATTGTCTAGGATTATAAAATCTGAGATTCAACATGTTTACAAGCTTGTGTGAAACATGAAATATAATGATATAGTGCGCTTGCCCTGTCCAGGTCTGAGGCTACCCCATCCGGGCGCCAAAAAGACGGGCTTTCCATCCTCTTCTAACATAAGGTGGAAGCAGAAATCAGCTTCTAAAATGTTGTAGTTTTATAATTCAGATGACAGATGAAGTCCAAAAGAACAAATTTACCTATAGATAGCCTTTGTTTATTCTGAACCTTTGGTAGTTCCGTTCTACTTTACTGCTCATGCCATATTTAGAACTATTTCAAAAGTGGTTCACGCTACTCCGCAGTCCATCCAATAAAGAAGATTCTTCATTTAAGTCAGACTGACAGTCTATATTGGTTCTCCACGTGTCTTTATACAGTTGCTTTGAAGGCTCGAGAAGAAAACATCCAATCTCACTTTCTCTCACAGTATCAAAATTTCTGTATCCTAAATCACGAAGGAAAATCAAGAGACCTCAACTACTGAAGAAGCTCTCAAAATACAGTGTTTCACAAATGTGGTTGTTGCACATTATACCAGGGTTCAAACATGAAAGTGGAAGAGTGATAGTCTGTTATGCTGAATGACAAAAAGAGAGACAGATTTGCAAAATCTGATATTTGGGGGTTTTCATCATCCACAGCAAGCAACATTAAAATAAAAAAATCGGTCAAAACAATTTTCACACAAAATTATACATTACATTGTAAAAGCCATGAGAGAAAATAAATGGTACAAGAACTGAAGACTGACTGACACATTCACTCACTGGTTCAACTCTCACCACGCGACAATTCTTGCTACCATAAAACTTTACAGCCACCCACTCCCTTCTTTTAGTCTTAGAATAGTTGATATTTTTACAATTGAGAAACCTATTTATAGGTTACATGATTTGCTTTTGGCATAAATATTATAAAAAAGCAATAACAAAATGCAGCTGAAAGAACATAATAATAAATTCAATGATACATCGATAATGAAGGGAATTATTCACTCTTAAAAAGAGGTTTCTATGAGTGACTATATAAATAATAATAATCATACAATTAACTTTAGCTAACACAAACATAACATTCATGCTTAGAAATATACAAATATGACTAATAAAAGAGACAATGTTATATAAATAACGCACTGGGTCATTATTTTATATTAATGGACATACTAGCAGAGTAAATAATTAAAACCTGAAAACCTGACTCCATTAAAATTTTACAGAATACAAATTTTGGATAGACTTAGTGAATGTTTCATTTGGCTTTGCTTGGTGTTAGACCAACATACTGTTCACTAGCGTAAGTACATGGCCCTGAGCTTAGTGATACATGATTTAATTTAACAGAATATGTATATAAAGTGATAATATATAATAATATGACCTGCTGGATCAATGAGTTCCGATCTAGAAATTCTGGCATCCAAAACATAAGACAATCTTTCCACCAGAATTAGTGAGTGAGATTATACTGATAAGATAATTAACATCACTTCTCAAAATAAGATGCAATGCAAGTTTGTAGACATCACACATAAAGACAGTGTCATGTATGATTTGAGGTTTTCACAGCGGTGAGTATGAAGATTTCTGTCTTCTGGGTTGTTGTGCTGTGTAGTCTGGTCGATGTTTACTAACGTTTCAGAGGTCATACTGCCCTGATGACGGAGGCAGTATGACCTCTGAAACGTTGGTAAACATCGACCATACTACACAGCGCAACAACCCAGAAGACAGAAATCTTCAGACAGTGCCATGCTTCAGTTACAATCTCATATGTAATATGACATTCTAGTATGAACTTCTAGGTCACAGCTCAGACTACATGAACACAGGAATCTTCATATTTGATGCTCATCATGCTAAATAATCGCCACCCTCTCTGTTATATCCTCTTCATTCTATACTTCGCCTTCCAGCCTAAAGACGATAGTTCCAAGTGTGTACAGAATACTGAAATAGGTGCTAAATCAATTTCATTTACAGATCTGGCAAACTGCCAGTATTATTATACTAAGCTTTTGGTGGACAACTTGCAAATAACAATGAAGGATAAATTATTACTGTGTTAATGGTTGAAATGGAAACCAAGTATCCTATTTCTAAATGCTACATTCCTTATCATTACAGTTTGTAATTCATGCTTGCCATATTCATTGACTAGTCATGACCATTTCATCTGAAGTAAGATAATTATGATTTATGTATATGTCATGTCTGAAATTAATTTAAATAATTATTTATTTTTATGATTTTTGATCTTTTTGTTTGTGTTTTAAAATTGTCATAGTCTTCCAAATTCCTTCCTGAATAATGCAAGCATACTTCCTTGGGATTTATAAAAATATACCATGTTAAACCTTTAGGTAATAAGGCAAATTATGACAAAGTTATATCTGACAGAAGTAAACTTCTTCAGATATTTAAAATATATTATTGCAGCCCCAAAATCAGGGCACTAAGAAACCAAAAACAATGTACATGTATAATTTTGTGGGGATAGGAAGCATGAAACTACTGATTTATTTCACTTCTTCTATTTCTCACTCTTCTTTAATGCGCATTACCTTGTAATCTTCGTCCAAGGAGTATCTTGGGCAATTGTGATTACTTTCACTAATAATGTAATGGTGACACAGGTAGTCCAAAAATAATTTTATGCAGCAAATTTGGGCAATGTCTTTAGGAAACATTCACTTTGATCTACAGCAAATGTAACAGTTTATTTTAAATAAATTTAATTCAATTCATTTATTGAAGTGCTTGACAACAGTCAAATAAGGCCAATAACAGCCAAGCACTAAACCAGAGTGCAGGATAAAATATAATAAATAATTAAATTCATTTCAATACTTGCTCAATTTTATCACAATAAAATATTATTATTAAATGTTAAAATATTAAAATATTACAATTAACATTTAAAATATATTAAAATGATGCTCTCATTTCAATAATAATACAATAAAATTAATGTGGTCAATGATAAAGTTTATATACTCTTCTACTAAATGTGCTAGCACTCCTGCTTCATATTTGGAAAGTCCAAGGTTCAAACCTCAGTCTGGAGACAGGCTATCCTGACTGGTTTTTGTAACCATCTATAAGACTATTTGGCACCACAGTCCAGAAGACAACAATCGACATCTTCAACGTCATAAAAACTTCAAACCATTTACCACACCCTAACCATTAGCAGGATGCAATAAAATTTCCTTTGTAAAGGAGCTCCCTAGACCAAACATCTGACACAAACTAGGGTGCACTTACCTTTTCCAAGAGGTCTGCAGGAACAAGAAAGAATGACTATAAACATTAATTATAATACATAAATGTTGACAGCAAGAAATGTAACATGTAATAAAATATATTATGGGTGTATGAATATATGTATCAACTAGTTTACCATGGAATATAATATGAAGTTTACTAAATGCTTTTAGACAGGTGCATCTTACAAATGAACAGAATAACTCCTGATACCAAACTAACAATAAGACTGAAGATGGCCGTCTTCTGGGTTGTAGCGCCGTGTAGTCTGGCAGAAGTTTATCAACATTTCAGAGGTCCTTGCTGCCTCCATCATCAGGGTGATGAGTGGGTGTTTTAGAGGAGTATCACCCTGATCATGGAGGCAGCAAGGACCTCTGAAATGTTGATAAACTTCTGCCAGACTACACGGCGCTACGACCCAGAAGACGGCCACTTTCAGCCTCACTTCTGTGAAAACCTCAAATCCTACTTAATAATAAAGCTCCATTTAAAGATTGTTAACTGGCAAAAGAAGAGTCCATTCTCTACGGAAATTTTAAACTTTCTAAACACTTCTTTACATTTGAAATTTATTTCAAAAAGCACATTTTCTGCTCTATGTACTTCAACGACACCATTTAAGTTTAAAAACAGAGAAGAAACTTATCATGACAGTCAGTTATGGTCGCAACATTAAACTGTTTTTTCCTTTCAATACAACTCTACTCATAATATATGGATTTAATTATAAAAAGACTTTTAAAGT